TCTAAGATTCTGATTCAGAAGAGGAGTGGGACCAAGTGACAATATTTTGAAAAATCTTTCCAAGTGATTCTGATGCAACGAAGGGTAGAGATTGTCACACAAGTACCAATAGAAGTGATACCACATGATGGAGGGGACTGGGTTTCACATCTCTCAGAGTCATGAGGGATTATGGCATGGACTAGTCAAAGCACAAAAAGAATGTTTTACATCTTTCTGGAATGTCAATTTATTTGACAAGTTTAAAATGTCATTTTATTTTATATAGTAGTTACATGCATTTAAGATCTGTGGTTTTAAATTTTATTTTAACATTTGTGTGGGGGGGCACATCTGAGATCAGATGAAAACTTCCAAGAGTTGGTTCTCTCCTTCCACCATGTGGGTCCTAGGGATTGTATTGAAGTCATTAGGCTTGGTGGCATGGGCCTTTACTAGCTGAGCCATCTCACTACCCTAAGATCTCTGTTTATTATAGCTTAATAAATAAAATGTCTTCATTGTATTAAATATGAATACATTCTGAAGTAGAATGCAAAAATCTGCATTTACTTTTTTTTTTTTTTTTTTGGTCTTTTTGAGACAGGGTCTCCCTGTAGCCCCAGCTGTCCTGGAACTCACTATGTAGACCAGGCTTGCCTTGAACTCACAGAGATCCACCTGCCTCTGCCTCGAGAGTGCTGGGATTAAAGGCGTGCATCACTACGCCCGGCTTTATTTATTCTTATGTGTATTCATGTGTTGCCTGCATGTAGGTAAGTGCACCCACATCGTGCAATGCCCACGGAGGATAGAAGAGGCCATCAGATCCCCTGGAACTGGAGTTTCAGACAGTTGTTAGCTGCCATGTGGGTGCTAGGATTCGAACCTGGGTCTTCTGCAAGAACAACTAGTGTTCTTAACCCCTGAGCCATCTCTCCAGCCCCTGCATTTACTTTTTAATATTTTCTCCTTTTTTAGGTTTTGAATTTTAATTAGTATCTATAATTGTCTAAAATGATATGTTTCGCCATGACATTTTCATAAATATATATCATGTACTTTGGTCACAATTGCCCCTCCCCCATTTACTTTTTAAAAGAATCCTAGACTTCAAAGAAATCTTCTTATATGTGTCTGGATCCAGGGACTTGGCCACTTCATCCTCTCTACTTGTGGATGGAGAGAGAGGTTGAAGTCACAGGACACCTTTATGTGCCTATATCCAGGGCTCACTAGCTTGCTCTCCCCCTCCCTCCCTTTCTCTCTCCCTCCTTCCTGCCCTCTATCCTTTTGTGGCAATGAGTATTGAACCCAGGACTTTATGCATGATAGCCAAGCCTTCCACCACTGAGATATATCCCCAGCCCCTCTTGTGTTTTTCATTGTGAGACAATGTTTCACTAAGTTGCCCAGGCAGGTCTTGAATTCACTCTATAACCCTAGCGGGCCTTGAATTGCAATACCCCTGACAGTCTCCTGAGTAGACCGAATTACAGGCCTGTACCACTAGGTCCAGTTTTACCTTCTATTGTTTATGTTTATTGTTACTAAGCTGTTGATATAAAACATAGCTCTAGCACCAAAGGTAATTAAGAGATAGTTTATTCTGAGCTAGATGTGAGTGACCACCACACAGGAACATAGATTCAGACTGCCCCAAATGACATGTTCCATTGTGGAAGAGGCAACATGAACTCTTGTAGTTACAGAACAAAAGAAAGTCATAAATCAGTGCATTTACCACATACATTGGTGGGAACAGCAGATGAATTTTAACAAAGGAGGATGCCTCTTTGACAGGTTTCAGATACCTTAATATTCTTGGTTTGAGGGTGGGTTGAAGCTAACGGTGTACTACATTAATACTTCTCCAAAATTTTACCCAATAGATCAGATACAGAGGTCGGTAATAAATGACTATTAGGGCTGGGTGTGGTGGCACATGCCTTTAGTCCCAGCACTTGGGAGGCAGAGGTACATGGATCTCTGAGTTTGAGGCCAACCTGGTCTACATAGGGAGTTCCAGGTCAGCTGGGGCTACAAGAAGACACTGTCTCAAAAAGACCAGAAAATAGAAGATAAAATAAATGACTGTTAGGGTACTACCAATAGTCTAAGATAATTTTGGTTCTGGATTTGCAACATTCCATCTCTTTGAAATCTAGAAGTACTTACTTACTAGTCAGTCTGCAGAACATTAATTTATCCTGGGGGGGATTTTATATTACATTTATTTATCCTGGGGGGATCATCTTATTACATTTATCCTGGGGAGTATCTTATTACATTTATTTACTGTAGGGGGGGGTCTTTATTACATTTACTTATCTTGGGAGGAATCTTTATTTATCCTTGGGGGAGCACGTGCACAGGTCAAAGGATAACTTGTGGGAGTGGATTTTTCTCCTTTCGTCATTTGGGGCCTATGGATCGAACTTGGTGGCAAGTTCCTTTACCCGGCTGACCCATCTCGCCGGCCTGAGTCTCCTGGATCTTTAACACACACGTGGCTCCTCAAAGAACAGTTCACAGAGATGTCTAATGAATGACTTGAGGCACAGCCTCAGAAACTGCACTCTGCAAGTAGGGCTATCAGATGCAAGGGCTGAGACCAAGCATTGCGTAAAGCTGCATTTCTGACTTTGGGAACATAGTGGGGGAGAGGAGTGTGAGGTAGTTCATTGGTTATCTCTCTAGGCCAAGAGCATTAGGGGGTAGTGGGGGGGCAGGCGCAGGGCAAGTTGCTTTATCTCTGACATGCAAGCTCCGAGTCGCTTCTGCTTATAGCTTTAAGGAAAGTGCCGATCCACGGAGTGCAAAGTCGCAAGGTCACGAAACCAGATGGCACAGAAGCCTGACCACGCGACCTTCGGACCACTTCTGTCAATTCTGGACTCCCTAAAACCACCCCGTCCTCGAAACCCTAGCTCAACTCGCCCCCGGCAAACCAAAAGCCCCGACCGGCCCGCTCCGGAGCCACGCCCCCTCCTCGCTCGCTCCCCACCCACCTCCGTCCTCGAGGTGCTCCTGCGCTACTCGCGCTGTGCCTCTAAGGAGTGTCGCGACCCTCGCGGAGGTTGCTGCATGCCGGGCCGCCTCAGAGGCTGGGCTGCTTACCTTTTGGACTCAGGCCGCGGCCACCCGCTCGTCCCGCCTTCGGCGGACACGGAGCCGGCGAACGGCGGAGCCGGGAGGAGACAGACGGGAGAAGGCGTCTTACAGGCTCCCCTCAGCCGCTGCGACTCTTAGTCCCGCCCCTTCCTCCCGCTGCTTAAAGTGGGTTGTCTGTCCTCCGGTCCGTCAGAGGCGCGGTCCCTGTGAGTTTGTTAGGTGCGGCTGTTGGCGCCGAAAGTTCCTGAAAGTCGGTGTAGGTGGAAGATGCCGGAAGGTAACCGGGCCGAAGGCAGCGACTGGGGCGAGGAGCGGGTGTCTGGGGCCGCGGTCATCGCCCAGGCCCTCAAGACGCAAGTACGATGGCGGGCCGGGAGGGAAATGTCCTACGGGGGCCGCCTAGGGACCGGCGTTGTCATGGAGACGGGGCGGCCTAGCGGCGGGGAAGGGGTTCTTTGGGTACTTCCTGACGGGAAGACTGTCCGCTGCGGAGGAGCCGGAGCCGGGCGATTATTCCCGTGTCTTGCCCCCAGGATGTCCAGTACATGTTTGGCGTCGTTGGCTTCCCTGTGACCGAAATCGCCGTGGCCGCCCAGCAGCTGGGCATCAGGTACATCGGGATGAGGAATGAGCAAGCGGTGAGTGTGCACACAAGTGGCCAAAAGCATTACTGGGAACGCCAGTGATAGCGGCCGCTATTCACTGCAAGCAGCGTCCACCACTTTTTAAAATACTTATTTTTAGTGTATTGCCTGCATGTATGTAAGTGCACCCATGTCCTGCAGTGGTCATGGATCCGGAGAGGGCGTCAGATCCCCTGGAACTGGAGTTACAGACGGTTGTAAACCGCCACGGGGGTGTTGGGAATCGAACCCGGATCCTCTGCAAGAGTAGTCAATGCTCTCAACTGCTGAGCCATCTCTGCAGCCCCTGTCCCACCACTTTCTAATGCGTTGTGGCCATAAGTCACTGTTGTTAATCTTGACAGAATAGTGAGATACAGAGAGACTAAGTAAAACTTGCCCAATATGAGTTACTTGGTAGTGACAGAGCCAGCATTTGAACTTAGCTATTCTGGGTTTGGGTCTGTGCTCATACTGCTCCACCTTACTGTACTTTACCACCTCTGGGTCAGAATTGGACAGGACAATCTGACTTAACTATTAGAATGTGAGCTCCACCAGATCAGGCATATTATTTGGTCACTGCTCATGGGTAGTTCCAGTACCTGCTCTGGGTACATGAAGGTGCTCAGAGAGCACCTGTGGGGTAGATGACTGAACACCAGGATTCATTTCTTAATAGATGTGGGGGCAAGGTGAAGGATATCACAAATGGTAAAGCCATCCATCACTGAAACTCAGGAGTCTCAAATCCCAGTCTAGTGCTTTTCCCACCACATTATGCTCCTGCCCTTTCAGGAGCTTCCTTGGAAGCAGGAAGAGCAAGGTAGGACATTTTGTGGACCCATTTTTAGTATTTCCTCAAAGCGGTACTGGCTTAGAAGATCAAGACTCCAGAGCCAGCCAGGACATGGTGGTATATGCCTTTAATCCCAGCACTCAGGAGTTGGAGGCAGGCCAGCCGGGGCAACATAATAAGACCATGTCTCAAGTACAAAGAATCCAGGGCCACTGAGATGGCTGAATGTGTAAAAGTGCTTATGGTCAAGCCTGACAACCTGAGTTCAGTCCCTGGGACCCTCATGGTTAGAAGGAGATAACTGACTCCCAAATTGTGACTGCCCCCCTGCCCACAACTGAATAAAATAAGTAATAATGTCAAAAATCTGCCTGTGTGACTGTCAGCCCATCTGTGGTAGAGTCTTGCTTCTGCTTCCAATGTTGCCTTTGATCTGTGTGCTTGTCCCATCTTGCCACCCTTTCTACCATCAGCTCTAAGCTCCAGTATGGCTCCAGTGTGACAGAAGCTGTGGGACCATGTGAAGAACCTTGTCCCACAGGATGAATATTTTCCTGACCTTAGGTGCTTCTATATTGATCTCAAAATTCTGAGCTTGGGACTTGGCAAGTAAGAAAGAAAATAACTGGAGAACCAGGATCTTGGCAGCACAGCTGTGGGCGCTGGAGCAGAGGCGGTGCCTGCAGCAGCTCTGTGCAAGGACTTAAAGCATGACTCCAATAAGAAGACATCTCATCACTTGATCCCCCTGGCAAGAACAATGGTGGAAGATGTGAAAACTGCAGATACCAAGAAAGCCATCTGGATCCTTGACCATGAAAAAGAAAACACTTGTTTCTGACTGCCAGTGTCCTGGCAGGCAGAGCCCTGCCACCCATGCCCCTGGGGAGCTAAGGCACCTGGTCCTCTAACCACCAAACTCGGGTGGAAGGGCCAAGCAGTGGATATAACCAGAAGTTGGTTGCAATTACCCCACTGTGCTGCGCCCCAGTGCCCCTCCCCTGCTAAGTGTTGGGCCTTCAAGTGGCCACTACACGGTGCACCTGTGGTCAGCCTAGCCATCATCATCATCCAAGACCTGTCAAGACCTGGCAGCCGTCCTCAGCAGCAACAGGAACCTGAGAAGCCTACAGATTTCAGAAAATAAGCTAGAGGACACTGTGAAGCATCCCAACAGCCTCTCAAAGAATCTTGGGTTGAAGGCCTGTGAGTTAACTGCTGCCTGCTGTGAGGACCTAGCTTCTGCTTTTACCCATAGTAAAATCTGAGGGGACTCAACCCAAGCATTTCTGATCACTAAGGAAGGAAGAGAGAAGTCCCTACTTAACATTCCTAACCAGTGTGTAAGGTAAACAAAAGACAAGTGTGAAAATTTCATTCCAAGAAACCTGGGTGCGTTCTGACTCAAAAACCACATACTCTGGCCCATCAGTGTGTAAGAATTATAGGTCACTATAACTACAAATGAACCTACCATTTGACCCAGTTATACAGCTCCTTGGCATTATACCCAAAGAACTCATCCTATTTCAGAGACACTTGTACATCCATGTTTGTTGCTGCTCTCTTCACAATAGCTAAGGGATGGAAGCAACATAAATGTCCCTCAACTGACGAATGGATTATGAAAATGTGGTTCATTTATACAGTGGAGTTTTACTCAGCAGTAAAGAAAGATGAAATCATGAAATTTGTAGGTAAATGGATGGAACCAGAAACTGTTTTACTAAGTGAAGTAGCACAGACTCAGAACAAACACAAACAAACAAATGAAAAGCAACATATTTTCTCCCTCATTTCTGGATCCTAGCACCAAATCCTTTCATGTGAGTATGTATTATGATGTACTTACAGGAGCCAGGAAAATGGAGAAGAACAAGGGAGGTAAAGGGAAAGAAGGAGTCTGAGATATTAAAACAGTAGGAAGCAGGTGTTAGTAAAGGAGAAATGGGTAAAATGGGGGTATTTAAATGTGAGGGGGAGAGGGAGTGTTTATACAAAGAGCTATGGGGATAAAGAGGAAGAAGGAGTTCAAGATGGGGAGCATGGTTAGAAAGGGGAAAAATGAAGGCACCTAATTTAGGGAAACCATGATGGAAGGGTTAGACAATGCGAGAGATTAATGCCTAGCTAGTTTTAAAAACCAGAGAGAACTATATTAGTCAAACAACCTACTGACAAATTATACATAACCAGATCAAGAAATATATGTCTAGGTAAGGTTTATCTGAGAACAATTGGTCTTTGCCCAAGATTTATCTACATGACACACAGTAATTAAAAGTACCAGACTGGTGGAACTAACCTGGGATGTTTAACAGACATACTTGGAGGCCTATGATAATTTGGTCAGAACGACATAAAGGACAGTTTTTGCTCTTTGCCCTCCTAGGTCGACTCATTCCAGAGGACTATGAACATCTCTCAAAATGTCCTGTAATTGTGGTGGGTCACCTGTCCTCTTGATCACGGAGGCTGTGGAGACCCCACAAGATGGACTTGAGCCAGTGTCCAGTCTACAAAGAGGAGGGTTGTGCTAGATAGCCTTAGTGTCAACTTGACACACCTGGGTTGAGGGAGCCTCAATTGGGGAATTGCCTCTATTGGACTGGCCTGTGGCTCAGTTGGAGAATTGCCTTCATTGGACTGGCCTGTGGCCATGTCCATGGGGCATCTTGACTGTTGAGTGATGTGGGAGGGCCCAGCCCACTGTGGGTGGTGCCACCCCTGCAAAGGTGGGCCTGTGTGGCATAAGAAAGCAGGCTGAGCAGGGGCCAAGGGAGCAAGCCAGTAAGCAGCATTCCTCCATGGCCTGTGCTCCAACTCCTGCCTCCAGGTTCCTGCCCTGATTTCCTACCTTGGGCTCCCTGGTGAACTGCGACCTGGGAGATGTAAGCTGAATAAACCCTTTCCTCCCCAAGTTGGTAGTGTTGGGCCCCTGGTCTGGGGTACCCAATGTCCACAGAAGTTCGCACCCCAATGACTCAGTCCCAAGACCAGGAGATGCAACAAGCAAGAGGATTTAATCATTTGCGCAGACGGGCTTCTGCCTCACTCGGAGAGAGAGCAGCAGCCCAGAGCTCAGCTTACAGGCTTCTTTTAAAGGCAAAAACCACAAACCAAAACCGGCAGCAGTGGGAGGGGGCCGGCAGCAGTGGGAGGGGGAAGTTTCGGGTGATCTTCAGCTTGTGCATAGAGCATGAAAAAGTCAGCTTTTTCTCAACAGTTAGATTTTACATCTTATTTCCTTGCACAGCTTCCCAGAATATTCTTCTTTGGTCTGGGGGACTTGGTTTGAATCCACTTTGACCTGGGGGGGGGACTTTAGTTTGATTTCATCAAGCACACCAGAGTGCATTTGTTGTTTTAGAAGATAAAACTGCACACAATGGAACTCTACATATTATGTCTAACTCTTCTCAGACCAATGATCTATTTAAGATGCTCTCCAATTCAAGAGGTTTCTCTTCATGTCCCAAGTCATTCAGATTCTGCCATTTCTCAGAGTCATATTAGAACTTGATCACCACAGTTCATGGGATCTCCAACCAAATCCAGTTCTTTCCTGAAACATGTTCTCCCTCCCCTCCCCATCCATAAACTGTAATGGAGACTTCATTTTTTATTCTTTGATGCTGTATTACCTTGTATCCCCATTCAATGGGTAGCATGCAAAAACTTTTCAGTGCCAGTATTAAAATACGTTTTAGGTTGCAAAATTTTGCCTCCACTGAGGAATATGAACAGTGCAGGCTCCTAGTTGAGTATGATTCCTCCAGCACCTGAGCTCTAAGTGACACAAGTGAAGTTGCAACTTGACTGTTAAGAGTCTGAAAAAATGAAAACATTCTCAGAGCCCAGTGGGCTGGACCCCATGTGGCTGCCTCACCTTCCCGCAGCAAAACCCTTTCATAAGCTGGGAATTTGGTGCTAACTGACACAGCGGCTGTTAGGTCTTCCCGGCTCTTCCGGAGGTTCTTCTTCATCCCAGATCTCTGGCCCCGCATTCTCCAGAAGTCTGCTCTGTCCCCAGCGTTGTCTCTCTGTGCATTCTGGACACTGGCCATTTGTTCAGCTCTGAGAGAA